TCCCTGTGCTGGTGCTGACTCCTTTATGTAAATTGTTCCCTGTGCTGACTCCTTTATGTAAATTGTTCCCTGTGCTGGTGCTGACTCCTTTATGTAAATTGTTCCCTGTGCTGGTGCTGACTCCTTTATGTAAATTGTTCCCTGTGCTGGTGCTGACTACAACTTTGAACATGGGTTTTTTTCCCCCTTATGCTTTTGCTTAATAGTTTACAAATTTTCTTTTTTTTTAAAATGGAAGATGACATAATAGATAACTGGAGACAAAAAGCTCAATATGTAGTTGTTTTTTTCCCTGTATGCTTTAGTGCTAGCAGATATCCGTATGACAGCACTCGAACTCCATCCACCCGCTCCCAGTGAGTATCTGTGACCTTGACCTTTTGCTGAACTAAACCTCTTCTAGACTTGTAGGCTTCTGTGGTGATGATGGTCCACACTGTACTCACTGCTGTAGTCAATACTCACTTTACAGTTTACCGTCCTTGACTCACTGCTATAGTCAATACTCACTTTACAGTTTACAGTCGTTGACAATTATATCTGCTGTATTGAGGGGAAATTTTACTCTTTTTTTTCAACCCTGTTCCTCCTCAATTTCATGACTATAAGTTTAGATTTTCTTTTTGAAAAATTCTGAGTTCCATTTGGTTTTGGTGCCACTGCAGACTCCTGATATAACATATCAAGACTCCTGATATAACATATCAAGACTCCTGATATAACATATCAAGACTCCTGATATAACATATCAAGACTCCTGATATAACATATCAAGACTCCTGATATAACGTATCAAGACTCCTGATATAACGTATCAAGACTCCTGATATAACGTATCAAGACTCCTGATATAACATATCAAGACTCCTGATATAACGTATCATTGCTTCAGTTGATGATTGAGAGAGACCAGTACAGTCATGACTCTAGTCGAATAATAGCAATTGCTTCACCGTCTTGAACTATAGGTGTGTACACTGATGACTTAACTATAGGTGTGTACACTGATGACTTACTCTAGAACTATAGGTGTGTACACTGATGACTTAACTATGGGTGTGTACACTGATGACTTACTCTAGAACTATAGGTGTGTACATTGATGACAGAACTATGGGTGTGTACACTGATGACTTAACTAAAGGTGTGTACACTGATGACTTACTCTAGAACTATAGGTGTGTATACTGATGACTTACTTCTCTAACACTAACATGACCGGTTGATTCCCTGGTGCTGAGGTCTGCAGTGTTTACTTCCCTTTGTTTGGGAGGCAGGAATACTTTCCTTCTCCCGACCGTTAAGTTTTTTTTCTTTTGTTTTTTTCTTTTCTTTTTCTCTTTTTTCCCCCCTTTTCTTTTCTTTCTTTCATTTCTCTTTTTTTCCTCTTGTTCAGCTTGTCAGTACACATGATTGTTCAGCTTGTCAGTACACATGATTGTTCAGCTTGTCAGTACACATGATTGTTCAGCTTGTCAGTACACATGATTGTTCAGCTTGTCAGTACACATGATTGTTCAGTTTGTCAGTACACATGATTGTTCAGCTTGTCAGTACACATGATTGTTCAGTTTGTCAGTACACATGGGTATTGAGCGGGTGGTTGGCGGGTGCTCTGGTGTGGTTTGCTCCTTCTTTCCTATCGAAGATCTATCGTCCTTTTCTCCTCTTCTTCTTTTTTATGTTTGTTACTCTCTTGTAACACCTCTAATCTTCTGGCGCTCATATGACCTTATGCAGTTACGAGCGCCATAAAACCTCTACTACTAAATGGGTATTGAGAGGTGCACCGTCAGCTATGTTGGTAGCATGTCGGGCTAGGGAGCAGATGGCCCTGGTTTGAATCCCAGACTAGTGGGGGGGGGGGGGTCATTTCGTTCTTAGACGTGGGTCATTTCGTTCTTTGGCGGGGGTCATTTCATGGATTGATCAAGGGTCTCGGCCCATTTGGCTTGTGGAGACGGATGTTTCCTTCTGAGGTCCCGTCTCTTGAACTACCTGATTGTGTTGATAGGAACCTTGAGCCCATTCACCTTTGGTCCAGTATTCAGTTTGCCTTCAGATCTTTGATAGTGCCTGTCCCTCTATCTCTAGTCAGGTCTGGTCTGTCTTATGTCAGGTCTGGTCTGTCTTATGTCAGGTCTGGTCTGTCTCCTGTCAGGTCTGGTCTGTCTCCTGTCAGGTCTGGTCTGTCTCCTGTCAGGTTGGGGCTGTAGAAGTTCTCCCGCCTCGAGTTCTGTCCACGGATTGTCCAAAGATTTCCCTTTTCTTCCATTCTTTGGCTAATTTGTCTTGAAAGAAAAACATTTTCCAAAGATTTCCCAAGGCGGTGGCTGTGAGTGAGACAGTGCTTCCAGATTTCCGCAAATGGAAAAATTCTCGTGTAAATTCGTAAAAAAAAAATTTTTAATAAATAAATAAAAATAACAATTTAAAAAACATTATTTTAAAAAATGCGAATTAAAAATATTCCGTAATTACTAATACCAGATTTTAGAGTCTCTGCTAATACGTAATAGAGTCAACAATAGCCAACCCATACCGGAAGTGCTCTTTTATTTGAAAGTGTAGAGTGTAGATAGACAGTGTCTTTCACTTTACTTTCTAAAGCCCAAGAAGCACCGCACCAGCTCTGTAAACAAGAGGAAGACATGACGATTGTGGTTCAATAGAAGACATGACGATTGTGGTTCAGTCGATCTTGGGCCTGCCAAGAAAAGAAAACCCTAAAGAGAGCTTGATTTCGGTTGAACATAGGTCTAGCTGTCAAGTTACATAGGTCTAGCTGTCAAGTTACATAGGTCTAGCTGTCAAGTTACATAGGTCTAGCTGTCAAGTTACATAGGTCTAGCTGTCAAGTTGCATAGGTCTAGCTGTCAAGTTGCATAGGTCTAGCTGTCAAGTTACATAGGTCTAGCTGTCAAGTTGCATAGGTCTAGCTGTCAAGTTGCATAGGTCTAGCTGTCAAGTTACATAGGTCTAGCTGTCAAGTTGCATAGGTCTAGCTGTCAAGTTGCATAGGTCTAGCTGTCAAGTTACATAGGTCTAGCTGTCAAGTTACATAGGTCTAGCTGTCAAGTTACATAGGTCTAGCTGTCAAGTTACATAGGTCTAGCTGTCAAGTTATTTAGATCTAATCTTAGATCTAACTCTCCAGAATTTAAGATTTGTATACAGTACAGATGTAGAATGTGGACGTAGATCTAGATCTAACTGTTCTGGGTGCACAGTGAGAACAACTTGGGCTTGTCCCACTTGGATGATCTATTAGTATTTATGTGGATGAACTACACGTTGTGCTGCAGACCAACACAAGCAGAAAACAGTTGAACATAAACTGTCAAGTTTTATAGTTGCATAAATACTTCTTGTAGAATGAACAACCAGCCACTGATAGTTCCTAGCATGAGGCACGACCTGTTCTGTTGCCGACTTTTTCCACTGACTAGATATCTAGTAATCTAATTTTCGAGACATTTTCTGGGACATGCGTTGTTCAGATTGGGGGGATGATTTCTTTGTTGTGACCCAGATTTTCAGGTTGCCTGTGGTGGCCTACATACCCTGTTCTTTGCAGTTGTGGTACATACCCTGTTCTTTGTAGTTGAGGTACATACCCTGTTCTTTGTAGTTGTGGTACATACCCTGTTCTTTGTAGTTGTGGTACATACCCTGTTCTTTGTAGTTGTGGTACATACCCTGTTCTTTGTAGTTGTGACACATACCCTGTTCTTTGTAGTTGAGGTACATACCCTGTTCTTTGTAGTTGAGGTACATACCCTGTTCTTTGTAGTTGTGGTACATACCCTGTTCTTTGTAGTTGAGGTACATACCCTGTTCTTTGTAGTTGAGGTACATACCCTGTTCTTTGTAGTTGTGGTACATACCCTGTTCTTTGTAGTTGTGGTACATACCCTGTTCTTTGTAGTTGTGGCACATACCCTGTTCTTTGTAGTTGTGGCACATACCCTGTTCTTTGTAGTTGTGCTGTGATTGACACTATTTATGAAATGCTTAAGAAATCCCACACTGCCGTGAATAATTTCACAGCTGACGTACTTTTCTCAAGAAAATGCCTTCTCATTTCTGAACCTGTCTGTATTTTCCATCTCTGAAGTCCTCTGTACTGTGCTGTGTCCCCATGCTTGTTGTACTGTGCTGTGTCTGTGTCAAGTGTTAGAATCTACTACAGCAGTCATTTCTTCACTAACTACTTCACATTGACCCCCGAGTGCCGCCCAGTGAGTGTGTTGTAGATTACTCTAACAATTTCTACTTTCGTACTCTCTCTCTCTCCAGGTGTGCTTGTGTGGATAGATTACTCTAACAATTTCTACTTTTGTACTTTCTCTCTCTCCAGATCTCCCCGCTCCATGTTGATTTCTCCGAGATATCAAAGTGCATGACATGACAATGTGTTTTTTCTTCTAATGCTCTCATGAGAATAATGAACTGTTTGGAAATGTTTGCCAAATGCTCGTGTGTCGAATGCTACAACAGATTTACCTAATTCCCTCCCGCCATGTGTATATATGTATATATATAGAGAGAGATAGTATATAATATATATATATATATATATATATATATATATATATATAGGCACAGCCAAGCAGTGGTTTTTGATTGATGGTGGAAGAACTCGGAGCCCTCCATATGTTGACTCTGATACTGGACCACTTGGAGAGCACAGTTTTTCTTTGTGTTGTGAATGCACTCACTAATCACTGACATTTTCTCTCTCTTACTTGTGTGGCTTCAGGACAACTTTTTGGCAATTTTTTTTCTTCTTTTTCTTGTTTTTGCTGAGATTTGATAAAGAATTGCTTTAGTTGAGTTGAACTTTTGACTCCAAGCCCTAAGAGAATAGATGGGAGTAGAGCTATGAGTCAAGTTGTTCTGACAATTGACATGATTGGACTGATGTTTCTGCTTGTAGTTTGTAGCCAGTGCATACACGGGTGTGGAAGTGAGTGGTGACTTAAGGAATATCAAATGATGGATGTGCAATATGTAAAGGGGGGGGGGGGTAAGTGATGGGTACTTGTAGGAAATAACAGGGGAGTCTTTCATTACTTTTCCAAGTTAGTTTGGGCTAGAGTAACAACGACTTTGAATGTAAATTTATTATTATTATCATTACTTTATTAATCTTGAATTTACGTTGCTATTAGATGAAACCTTTTTTGGCCAGTCATACTCTTTACTATTAAGTAACTGCACTAGAACATTTCTGGTTATTTTTGCTTGTGCATGTTGGATTGATTGTCAGTGTTTGCTGTCTGTTGTCTGTTGTTGGCTGTCTGTTGTCTGTTGTTGGCTGTCTGTTGTTGGCTGTCTGTTGTCTGTTGTTGGCTGTTGTTGGCTGTCTGTTGTCTGTTGTTGGCTGTCTGTTGTCTGTTGTTGGCTGTTGTTGTCTGTTGTTGGCTGTCTGTTGTCTGTTGTTGGCTGTCTGTTGTCTGCTTACTTCACTTTGTCCTGCTGTTGCTTTTGGTGGTGGTGTCGCAGTGAGCGGAATCCTCACCAGGTTTATCAGGTCTTTGATGGTGGGGGAGGGATGTGGATTATGTTGGTCTGTGTATGTGTTTGGGAGGTCAGAGAGAGAGAGACGTTATGTTGGTCTGTGTATGTGTTTGGGAGGTCAGAGAGAGAGACGTTGATTATGTTGGTCTGTGTATGTGTTTGGGAGGTCAGAGAGAGAGAGACGTTATGTTGGTCTGTGTATGTGTTTGGGAGGTCAGAGAGAGAGACGTTGATTATGTTGGTCTGTGTATGTGTTTGGGAGGTCAGAGAGAGAGAGAGAGACATTGATTGTGTTGGTTTGTGTATGTGTTTTGGAGGTCAGAGAGAGAGAGAGAGAGAGAGAGACGTTGATTGTGTTGGTTTGTGTATGTGTTTGGGAGGTCAGAGAGAGAGATATATAATATGTTTGTCTGCGTATGTGTTTGAGAGGGGCGTGTATTATGTGTGAGGAAATCTGCAGAGCTCAGCAGTTTGGGGATCTGTTTCTGTGTGGGAGAACGTGTGTGTTCAATTTGGAGAATGTGGATGGAGAGTACTGATGTGTTCGTGTGTTTGTGTGTTTGTGGTCTCTGACTGTTGCTATTGGAAGTCTTTCTGTCTGTTGTTATTGGAAGACCTGTCGAGACTGCTGGCTTATGTTGCCGGGCAGAATAATGGTTGTGGCTACAAGTTATTTCTGGAAGATTTTGTTTGACTGAGACAGAGATAGCTTCTGCTTGAAATGTTAGTATAGTTGAAATGATACAATTACACCGTCTATGCTGTCAGATTAGTGTCATTGCTAGATGGTTCCTGTTTTATCTAATCAGTACAGTTTTATGTTTCCTCTACTAATCCATCGTAACAGTTTGTTTGACATGTACTGTGACAGAAATGTTCAGCCAAGTCCATCCTTAATTGACGTCAGTTGAGTTTCTGTAGGGAACTTAGTCAGTTTAGTTTGAAAAGTTGTCCAAGTATTTGGTTCACATTATCCTGTAGGTTTTTCTCCCTGATAGATAAGACCCAGTGGAAGTAGTACATTTGAGCAGTTTGGAAGAAACAAAGATGTGTAGATGTGTAGATGTAATGTTGGTGTGTGTGGTGGTGGTGTGGTTGTGAGTGGTGGCCGCTGACCGCAGTGTCTGTCTCCCCCCC